CAAGAAGGGATGTTAAATTTTCAACAATAACTTGAAAATTTGTTACTCTTCATCAAATCTAGCGGTACGTATGGAAAGGTGACTATATTTTTTAGCTATTTCAATTTTGAAAAAAAAAAAAATCCGTTTGAAAAAGAGGGATAAAGTGTGGAATGCGAATAATAGGCCAAAAATTACCTCCAAACCCTATTAGCATTACACCAGATGACAGGCATAACGAATGTTTCCAATTATTTCAAGGAACTTTCCTCTTTTTTACTCCAAATTGTCGAATTCTTGGGAAAATTACAACTTAGCCATTTTTAAACAAATGAACTATCTGCGCATTTTGGAAATGAACGAATGTTTCAAATTGAATTGATGTTAAAATGTTGTAATTTTAATCGAATTAGATTAATTTCAATTTGCTCACGTTCTAAGATCTCACAAATTAGAGCTAAAACATATGATGATGAGACGTCACGGTTTATACATGTGTTCATGATTATCAATGTCAGCAGATCCTCATGGATACGTCATGAAGAAATGTAAACTGTGCGATGTTTATCTTTATATTGACCGTGCATATTCATGGTTCATTTTGTAAAAATAAAAAACTACTAATGGGCTCAAAAAATGCCACGCCGATTCACGCCGCCGCCAGCGGTATCGGCGTGATGCAAATGACACTGCCGCCGCCGAGCATAATTACCCCACACACCGCCGCCGACCATTTTTGAAACGGCACACACCTCTATACAAGAGTCAATGGTATAATAAGAGTCCCAGTGTTCACTCGGCTGTGGACAGAATTAGACCACTCTCAATGTGTGTCAAGCGATCGTCTGTTTACTCGGTAGCTATCATTGTGTGGTCCTCCTCATTGTTCTTCATCAGCAGTTCTTTCAGTCGATGCGTCGTCGACTTTGGAAAGCAACCGTTTCGTGATGAATGTGTGAGTGCTGACCACGTTTTGCTTGCGTCCATTGCTGCAATGGAAGTGCTCTGACCCCCGTAGGCGAATCTGCCTTACAATGAAACCACTGGAAGCGGCTCCCGTTCTGGTGGAGGAGGCTTATTGGATAGCGGAAGATAAACTATAGTTTTAAGATGTATTGTATAGTGAACAAGAATCCTCGGCTCTGTAAAGTTAATTCGATTGAGCCTTATCAAATAAATTAATAAACAAAAAACAAAATAAGAGTGAAGCCAGGAGTACCAAACAAGCAAAGTAAATAAACATTAAACAGCCAGTGAACTGCAATTATTGCATTCATTACTGACAATATTTTAGTAATTTTAGATGAAAACATTGCTTCGCTTTATTTAGTACATTGTGGTATTTCTAAGTTATACCAAGCACACTTGTTTGAACATTGTTCAGGTTCTATAATTGTTTTTGTATCCCAAAAGCTCCATTATCGACATGAAATTTTTCACTTCTACGCTTCTACATTTCACTTCTGAATGAAAGTCACCCGATGCTAACGCAAAAAATCTGGATGCCGTTTACCCTGATGACAAATAATTCACAAAGAGTGCTGATTCCTCGCAACATTTTCTCTTGGCGGGACTCTTATTATAACATCGACTCTGCAAAATACCATAATTATCCATCATCATACCACGCACAACTGTAATGCCCAGGAATCAGTTGCCATCGATAACTTCATTGATGCGAATGTCGAATTGAATTGATTCTTTGACGTAAATAGCAAACACCGCCAGTGTGTCTAGAATGTGATAAACAAGCAGCAACAATATATCCCGGAATATTATATTGAACAAAAGCTTCAATTTCTATAATTTGAGTTTCAGCTAAGAGGACGTTTTTCCTCAACAATCTGACGCGATGCTACACAGCAAAAAAAAAAATAATTTTGATATCACATCAAAGTGGATGCACTTCAATCGTGTCAAAAATAAACTGTAATATTACTTGCCAAAAAGGACATTTAATACAGTGCATGAACTGACATTACGCTGATTTTACTGCATTTGTTTATTTTTGTGGCCATAAAAACTACATGAGATTTTCGACATGATTGAAGTGCATCTTCTTGGATGTAATATTACAATTTATTTTTTGCTGTGTACGTAGTTTATTGACAATCCCGCAATATTCAAATGCAAAAAGCCGAATTGATTCACATTCCTGGAACTTGGCTACTATTTATTGAAACGCAAGCTGCTTTTCTTCTGTTCGAAAAGTCTATTATAGAGCAAACATTCAGAGCTTAATGCGGCATGGTTGACGTCCAAATTTATTTTACGTTCTTTATTCATTTTCAAACACACACTAAGAAAAATTCATGTAACTTTAGAAGCTCTGAGAGTGATATATACGAGCGTCAATTTTGACATAAATTTGAGTCATAACAGATGCGAAATATACCTCAATAAAACGTACTTTTCGTCGAGCAACGAACTTTTCAGTCTCTGAGCACTTAATATTACATGACATGTTTGTTTACGTCTTATCTTTTATGTCAAAGATGGATTCCATCACGTGTAAAATTAGTTATTTCTAAGTGTGAAATTAATACATTTCAATACAGTTGACGTTTTGTGTTGTTGAGCATCTCTCTCAATTTTTGCGATCCATACTCTTGTGCCAAAATTCTCCACATTTGAAGCATCTGAACACATTAATCGCGGGAACTATCGAGCACTGATCAAACCCTACACAAATTTTTTCGCACACAACAAACATTTATACGTATCGACATCGGCTTCGTGAAGCGTGAAGCGTGGATTTTCAAACATGTTGACATTTTTTACATTTCTTTTCTTTAACTCATTATGTTTGTATTACTCCATTGGAGGCGAACCAGCCCAAGGCTGAAAGCCTCCCTAATAAAGTTAAATAATAATAATGTTTTACTCCATGCGTGAAGTTAACGATTTACATAGCTGGAGATGCTTAACGACAAATATCAGTCTTAAAGTGTTCATTTTATTCGATAGAAGAGGAGATGAAAGTATAGAGTTGATAGTTCCGTTAGAGTACGGTGGTGTGAAAATTGTATATAGAGAGTAGAAAGCGAGCAAAGGTAAACTTTGAGGAAGGAACGAATCGGGTTAATCATCTCCGGGGGGTGATACTCCTCACCATCCCTGATATTTGTCGTTAAGCATCCCCAGCAATGTAGACTTTTTCATCTTCTTTTTTTTAAGAAGATTCTAAAAGAAGCATCCAAACGAAACTTCTCAAGAAGATTAGTATAGAACCTTCTTTTGGCAGCTAATTGTAGACGCTTGCCTGTCGCTCCGCACTTCTAACTAAAAAAAATACACGGGTAGGACAGTAAATATTAGTAGCTACGCAGTAATGGAGCCACTTTCCAAGAGTTTGTTGGAAATGCTAACATGAAGCTTTAGTGTGATAATTTATTAGAGCTAGAAAATGATCTTTAGAAGAGGGTAGGTGGATAGTTCCGTTAGAGTACGGCAGTATGAAAATTGAATAGAAGTTGAAAATGAGCGAAGGGCCATTAATGCGCCAGATTTTAAAGTTAAACGCACAACTTTTGCCTAACCCGTACGATGTACGCGGAGACTTGACTCCGTACTCTGGCGGAACTATCCACCTACCCTCTTCTAAAGCTCATTTTCTAGCTAATAAATTATCACACTAAAGCTTCATGTTAGCATTTTCAAACAACTCTGAAAATCGCTAACTTCACGTATGAAGTAACATAAAAACACTTTGAATGTAACACTTTCCAAGGTTTATGGAACAAAAAAAAAAAAAAAATAGTGTCCAAAACATGAACAATATGTGTCGAATTTATGGATCATGCATATATTTTTTTTTATGTTTTAAGGATGATTCACAATATGTTTTTGGATAGTTTGGACGGTTGCAATGTGAATGTTTTAGAAATTTTATGAAACATTTTTACAATTGTGTTACTACACACTACTAAAAAGTCATGTAAATTTCGGTTCTCTGAGACCGACACATGTAAGCGGGCTTTTTGACATAAGAATCAGTTGAAAGAAACGTGAAAATTAATTCATTCAAACGTTCTCCTCGTCGACTAGGTGATGTTTCGGTTTGAGAACACTTAATTTTACATGAAATGTTTGTTTACGTTCTATGATTTACGTCCAATATGGATTACGTCTCGTGTAAAAGTAGTTATTTCTAAGTGTGTATATTATGTAACATTTATGTGATAATATGGATAATATTGGTATTTTTTATCGATCAATCATACTTTTTAGGGATTTTCACTGGGGTTTTATGGATCATTTTGGTGTTTTTTAACGAGCATTATTAAATTTGTTGTGGATCATTTATTGGTTTTTTTTTCCAAAAGTTTGTTTGCCCTTGAAAACTATTCCACTGAACTTTGAGGTCATAAGGACCTAGCCACCATCGCAGCCTCAGTCTCTTCCGCCGTTCGCTACGACGTTGTAACCGACATGATTTAGGTAGAGAATTCACTGGAGGCTTAAAATGATACCACCGATCAGCATGGTAATGCTGTGAGAAATTTTCCACCAAATTTGGTTCACGCTGTGGGGGCAAACGAGCTACAAAATGATTTCCCAACCACCAGACGACCTGCAAAAAAGTAACCACCCAGCACGCGGAGTGTCGTGTCTACCCAAAGCCTGTAACCACAAATGAAGATGAACGGAGTGTGGCTCTGGGTTCCCCTTGGGAATCGTTTGCTCTACCATCATCGTTGCAGCATTCGTACCCGAATAAAAGTATTAAACCGGTATTAAAAGTTACGAGCAAACTGTTGAATTCAGTCGGAGTGTGGTGCAAAATTTCTCTTCCTTCGAGCTCGGCTGGTTCTAAGACTCGACGGCAATTTTTCCGGGACGCCAGACAAAACGGTGTGGCTGCAAAAATTGTTTTCGTTTCACACGAAAGATGGAATCTCGTTTGCTAAGCTTCTTGTCGAGAAAACATTCCTGACCGTGCATTGCGTATATTGACGGTGGTTGGCCACTTTGCGGAAGTAGGAACTGGGGGAAGACGTATCGCCGGGAATTAATCTTACCTGCACGTCAGAGCACACGGCTCCGAATAGTCGTAGTGGGGGGTCCACTTGAGTAGTGCTCCATCGTAGGGCACGTCGTCGTACGCTGAACACTGATGGGCCCGGAAATCCTGTTGCTCAGGGCATGGCTGAAATGGGAGGAAAAGAATATGTCGCTCTGTTAAAAGATGATTTTTTTTTCTTTTAAAAACTGGTTGGTTCGAAGAACTTACCTGCATGTTGCAGATCTTGTACCGCACGGCATCTCCTTTGCAGCCATGGGGAGCGTGACAGCGGCGCAACTGATACGCTACACCGCCGTCGCAAGATCTGGAACAGGTTGACCATTCGGTCCACGATGACCAACCCTGAGCCTTCGCACGTTTCTGAAAAAAAGAACAATATGTGAAATATACATATTTATTGATTCATGCGTATGATTGAAAAACTTGAACAGCAAAGTTTAAGGAAATTAAGTGGGCTTTTTGTTATAAATACTTTCAAGATTGAACACTCACGAATAGCATCTCAAAAGGGCGAAAATTGCCGTAAAAATGGCATGTTGAACAATAGCAAACAACTGTGCAAAGTTTCAACATAATCGTAGAAGGTCGATCAAAAAATTTAAAAAACAAAATCGTCATTTGAAATGGAACTGCTGAGCACGCAATAAGCTAATATGCGATAAGCAATTAGCTTGAAATGCAAAGAAGATGCAGAAGGTTCAAAACATTCAGAGAATTTTCAAGATTGTCTACAAAGTTCCAAAATTTCCTGCAAAGTTACACGAACTTTAGAGAAGTTCCGAAAACTCCAGCATAGTTTTCAAAGTTTAGATATTTTAAGTAATGCTCTAAGAAAATAAACTTTTGTCACTTCAGCAAAGCTCCTAGAGCTTCGGCTCAGTTGCAAGTACTCCAGCGAAGTTTAAAAATCAGCGAAGTCTCTAAAATTTCAACGAAGTTTCAAATATTGCAGCAATTTTCCAAGAACTTGAAATACACTCTTAAAATATCGGATAATTCTCGGAACTTATGAGAAGTTCCGAAAACTTTAAAAAAGATAAAGTAATTGTGATAACCACCAATAAATTCATCTTGGTTCCAAGAACGTCAGCCAAGCTTCTAAAACCTCAGTGAAATGAAAAAAAAAAATACTATAAAGGTCAAAGAATTTTAGAAAAGATCGTAAAAATTTACAAAAGTTTCAAAATCTTTATTTATGTTCCTAGATTGTCACCAAAGTTCAAATATCTTGATCAAAGCTTCAAAAAACATAGTGATTTTTTTTACATGATTTGTTTTCCGTCGATCTTGTTTTCCGAACTGAGTACCAATGGTACCGACGCCAGGGAGGCAACTTCCACACCTGGACCCTACCTATCGACCCATCAAACTCATGAACAGGCGAACAACCGCTTTATTTCCCTCAGGCGTGTTCAGAGATTTTATGCTTCAGAACATTCTACTGGCGCCGACTGGGATTAAACCCAGGCAATGACGCTTACCACCACCGGTGCCACAGTAAAAAAATAAAGCTATGTACGCTCAGAGAATTTCAGCGAAGTTTCAAAAATGTTAGTTATGTTTCAAACGTTTGACCACTTCAGATAAGCTGCAAAAAATTCAGCGAAGTTCCAAAAACATGAAGTAGGCACCGAGAACTTCGGATAAATTCCAAGAACTTTAGGAGGCAGCATTTTTTTACGTCATACATTTGGAAAACTTGTGGACGGATGTTTTGATAATATGCAGGCTGCCCGAATAGATTTGGCTAGATTATTCATTAGGCTTTTAAGCTTGTCTTTCCCTATGTCATCGTGTGTTCATTCAATACCCATTGAAGAGTTTACTTGCAGCAGGGCCAGTGTTACGAAAATCATGCTCAAATCTCATTCAACGAGCACTTCTAATCATAGGTGGATAAATTCCGATTTTTTTTGTCTAAAGAGTTACAAGGCTATCTCCAGGGATTCCTAGAGCAAGGTTACCTACCTGTACCTCTTCATCGTCTTCATCTTCCGGATCCGCATCAGATGGGTTCCAACTGCTCAACGTTTCATTCAGTCCTTTATTATCTTTGTGTGTTGCCCGGGCTAATGTTAAAACCAAACACTGCAAAAAAAGATCAAAGAAAACATACAAATGGAATTAGTTACAGGTATGATAACAGGTGCACAGTGTAATTTTCGAGTACAACTTTACGACTAGCAGAAGTTGTTCGGTTTCAAAGCTTATCAATCTTAGTTTTCTCCTTCTTTCATAAATGAACATATCTTCACAGGTGATAGAGTAATTTTCAACTTGAACTTCAACACACGCATACACAAACACAACCTACCATCACCGAGATAGAGAATATCAACGGCAAACAAGCTGAACTGAACGATAAGTACGTGATGATACTGTTCTTTGCTCTTGAATGAAAGTAAGCATACTCAGTGGCACCATCTGGTGGACTTAAGGGATAAACTCCTCAGCGTTGTATGAATAGATGAAGCTGTTGTCTTTACCCTCCGCCCGCACAACCACCACAAACCTCGAATTGTTAATATGCACGACTTGCAAGAACTTCTTCATAATATCATGCACGGATCTGCAGTATGCATAGATGTACTTATTTGGTATGCAGCGAATGCAGTGCATAACAGTTGATTCTCATTGTCTGTTGATGACACTTTTGAGGTTGAAGATGAAGCCCCGGGATAAGCGTCCCACGTGAACGCTCTACACGTGCATAGTTGAAATATTTATCTTCTCATCGATCAGTAGCTACGTCCTGTGTCAGCTGCAGATCATTATCCCTCAAAGCTTCCATCTGGTTTGGTGATTAAATGCGAAGGACCACTTACCTGTCTGCTGCTACACTCGTGTGAATAGGGCAAATATTGAGCGGCATTAATTGGAATTTGTCATTATAAATCGAGTGTCTGATGTCTATAATATATCTATCTAGATGTGCATTGTGCGATGCTCTGAATAACTACTTGAGAATGCAATCAGATAGCGGTGCTAATATTGACCAGAACCACTTTGCACGTCCTTTCGTCCTTTCCGAGTAATTATTATTTCTTGACATGTGAGGTCATAGCTGGGCGGTGGAAATTGAGCAAGGAATGGTTATAATTCGCGTTCATAGTCGATGTTTGGGCGTGCATGAAAGTGTTGATTGGGATGACAGTGTATTGAAAAGGTGTTAAACATTGTAGGATTCTGATTTCAGATTTATTTATTTCGTCAACCGACATAGGCTAGGACAAATACCTTAAGATTAGGTGACATTGGACCAACATTGAAAAAAAGTTTATTGATGCAAATATCTTGAATATTCAGAAAATTATGAGTAGAATATGTTTTATGGACTCCTGGAGTAAAAACTAGATAACATTAACCAGTTGTTTTATTTAAATAATGCTGTGATGTGAAGTGTCATAAATAGTTACAAACAGGCTTGTAATTGCTCATTACTGCTAAAATGTAATTTTTCGTAATAATGAAGCTATGAGATACTATAATAATAATAATTTTAATTTGTAAGAAGCAAGAAGAGGTGGAAAAGTTTGTGATGTCAATTTTGCTTTCAGAAGGTCACAACAAGCGATTTTATGATTGCTCGCTCATCGCGTTGCTAATCGTTACAGCTAATCGCTATTGTGACCCTCTGAAAGTTAAGTTGACCGGTTTTATGTGTCATAAACATACTTTACCTTCTCTTCTTGCATCTTGCAAATAACAATTATCATTAAAAGATCTCATAACTTCATAAATCCGAAAAATGTAATGAGCATTTGCAAGCTTGGTTAAAAAAACACGATTTTTTAAAAATGTACGCAGGCAAATAAAAGTTTGAATACATTTATACGTGGATAGACGAGGGTTACACGTAATCTTTAGCCAAACATACGAAGTGATCATAACCAAGTGTAAAGACTGGAACGCGCAAAAATTGGTCGACAAAAAAAAAATCGTTTCTTTTAGTCAAAATTCATATCACAAAAATCTTCTTATTTTTCTTTTGATAGTTCAATTCATATATTTAAAGGAAAAAATGTTCGTTTATTCTTTTGGTTTGCCAAATCCGAACTGCCGTGCCTTCCGCTTAACCCCTTCCATTAAATTTTATTAGTCGCCGAACGCCAGTTATATTTAAACTGCTGTTCGTTTTCCATGGATTGATTAGTTTTTTTTGAGATTCCGTTTGACCAAGGCCCAAGGGCGGAGTTCTGGATCATATCAAAAATTCATGCAAGCGTTCAATCGTTATGACCATTTTTAAAAGGGACAGTTATTCCGAATCACCCTGTATATCAATTTGTTTCTACATACAATTCTTGGAAAGATACGTTCACTTTGATGAAGAAGCGTACGTTTACCCAACACTAAATAAACAATCAACGTCCTGAGATAGTTTTCTCAAAAACTCTTCCAAATGGCTAGTAGCAACGGTTATTTAGCTACATTGCAGCCTTTTATGGGAATTCCACCCGAGTCCAATTATGAGCCATGCTAGGTGTTTCGAAGTTTTGAAATAAACAAACAGAAACGCTGGGGGAGTAATGAGCGCAAAAGCGTCCCAAAGTGTAACGGCAGCGACCTTCTTCGAGGAAGTGGAAGGTGGATCGTTTTTGCTGCCACGGCCCACGGGTTTCTCCTACCAACCGCTCTCGATTACGAGTAAACTTTCACTCGCTCGCAGGGTTAGCGAGGTGGAAAATTATCAAAAGTTTTACCCTTTGAATACAATCAGAAGTGGGTGAACGTTCTCGTTCGCTTTAGTCAGTTGCAAGCATTTTTGGCATTCGCATTCGCAGAACGCCGGCTACTAAGTAAGCACCGTTAGCCGGGTAAATTCCGAGAGGGACGGAAGACGAACATGCTGCTACAAGAAAGTGATAAAAGTTTTTGAATCTTTAAATTAATTAGCGAAATGTTCTTTCATTGGCTGGTATAAAAGAGTTCTCGCTAGACGTTGGCCTAGTAAGTGCTCATGATTTATTCATTCCCGGTCAGTTTCAACAATGGATGCTGGCAGCTAGTTTCGGACTCGCTGATTGAGTGGATCGAGTTGCAATGTTTCGAACAAACTTTCAAAACTCACTAATGAGAGTACTTTATGGAGCAGTTTTCTGGACGAAATACCTTGCATGTTCAATCGGTGCGTTCCTACAGGTTTCCTACGGATAAGCTAAGTACGCAGGTAAAAATAAATACAGAACTCGCTGCGTGCTATCAATACACAGAAGTTACGTGGCAACCATAACCATCGATTCCGTTGCGCTCCGTCGAAAACCACTCGACATCAGGTAGATTAGTATTCGCCTGGGTGCACTCTGATCCTCAAACTGGCCTGGGTTGGATTTGGCCAGCTTTTTTGCTCCCCCGCATCATCCGGTTTGCCAACCGGAGCAAAAGTGAAATCAACCAGCGGAAGCGGAAAATTTATCCTACTCTCCGCCCGAAATTCCCATAAACCCGGTCGGATCGTTATGAAAGTCGCGTCCACATCCACATGTACCGGTGGGGGAAAAAAATCTCAATTAGCTTAAACGATTTCACCGAGTGTGGTACGTAACTTTTCGGGACAGGTGATTCGATGAACCGTGTCTACCAAGGGAATGAATTGAAGGAAAAAAAGTCGAAACAGCAAACTCGATTTGCTACCCTCTGACCGTCCGTCCGGATAGGTGAACGTATCTGCCAACAGGAAAGTAAGAACATGGCATCCGTATAGGTCACGACGAGCGTGAGGAGCATTGGTCGGCTGACTATCGATTGGACCTGTGTGGTACGTTGCCGACGGACGGGAGGTAATGTGCTCGCATTGAATAATTGAATGATTATTGATTAATGGCACATCCTTGGGAGGGATTGGGTATAAGGGAATGTATTTTTATGAGATATTGGGCCATCAGGGGTAGCGGATTATTGCAGGGTATTGAATCGTACATTGGAGTTCCATACCAGGGCTGGTATGAGCCAAATTCCATAATACAGTGATTCCTCTTAATTATGTTTAAAATGATGTTTATTTGCGATATGAATAAATATTCTATACTACGAAAGGTTGTCTTTAGCAGTTGGGATTGAACGCAAGGTCGTGTTAGAATCTACGGTATTGGAATTATCTAATGGCAAATCATATGGAAATTTATAGCGAAGTCAAGTTTTCGAAATAGATATTGTGTGATGTGATCAAAGATAATAATTAATAAATATTAATTTATAATAACTAACCTATAATTTCTCAAAACCTCTCTCACAAAATTAAATTTCGACAAAAATGTCGATTCTGGATTTTGAAATAGAAGTCAGTTAATTTTAAAGGGACTCGTATATAAACCCAAATAGCACTGATTCGATTTTGTTTTTGCAATAGAGCAGTCCCAAGCCAAATGCGAAAAAAAAAATTACAAATTTTAAATTTTACCTCTCAGAATTCCATAAATCTTTCCATAATTCGACAGTAAGCATGCATAAGGGCGTAACCGCAATCGATTCTCTTCGTCAATTTTCTCTTTTACTAATAACTTGCTTGGATTACAATTTCTCGATGCGTTTATTATTGGTTTTTATAGTCAATTCAACCTGTTACAGCTCTGTTTTTGACAAAATTCAGAAAATTACTTCCCTTAGCTGTAGCGATTTAGAGATAATCAATCATCGCAGGTAGGCCCTTATGCATGTTCACTGTTATATTGTTCGCTAGGAGCAATGAACCAATTTTGTTCTGGAATTTGACCATTTTCACTCTCGCATAATTTTTCAAAATGGTGTTTTAGATAATTTTCAATAAATTATAACACAAAAACGGCTCATCTTATCGAAATGCTGTCTAAGACAAAGTTAAACGAATTTAAATTTCCTTTTCAGAGAAAAAAAATAAACACTGAGAAAAATTATCTAAAATTTTCATCTACAAATGGAAAAAAAAAAAAATCCAAAACCTTAAGTAACAAACAACTGGATTTTGAAGATTTTTAAACTTAGGTTGATGTAGGGCAACTAGAGGCATTTTGAACACCCAGAGCAGATTAGACACTCCCTATATTTTCCAAAATATCAACATTTTTTTCAATTTAGATACAACAGATATTTCATTCTTCTTCTGAATGAGT